TTCGAAAGATACTATAAATTATAATTACTGTAATTTATTAACGTATTAATGCAAAAATAATATGTTGACAATATAAGTTTACAAGTCATTCAATATTTAATATGTTAAAGGTTTTCATATAGGAGTCTATTTTCAAACTCTAATATAAATCATAATAAGTTAAGTGTCACGTGTCAATCAAAACATCTAAATCACTCGTCCACTTATTTATATTACTCATATATACATATGATAAATGATATATTAAATAGAATTGATCATTCGATATTCAGTGAAGATTTTAAATTTCGATAATTTGATTATCATATGAAACTTTATAAATATTTATACCTACCCTATTTTTAGATTCCATGCACTAAGAAAATCAAGAATCCAAAGGCCAAAAGTGTTTGGACTTGATGTCATCATTACTTGTAGCTCACTTTCTTTTATAGCCTTTTACCAACTTTATTAGTATATATCACATCATATTGTGGATGTACTAATGATTTTTATTTTTTTTACATGAAATAGTTTAAGAAGTTTGGTATAAACTATAAAGTAAAATAAAATGGATTGGTATTATAGACATATGATTTGTAATTCACAATTCGTTAAAGAAAGTATAACCTAAGAGATCAGCAAGAATTGTAATACAGTAATGAAACTGTTTCACTATTGATCCAAAATTTTAAATTTAATCTTTAAAAAATTTAATTTTAATCGTGACACGAACACCTAATAAAAAAAACATAATGCATTAATTAAGAGGAATGACCACTCTAAAATCTATGTGCTTTTTCTTATGGTCCAAAATAGTATTGGCATGATTGTCACATCTCCATCCAAATTCAAAAGTACACTAACAAAACGAAGGCTACTCACATAGTTGAAAATTAAATACTCATTTCGACTTTCGTAGTCTATAGTTACAAATTAAATACTTCATTTGATTTTCACAGTTCATATTGAAACTTCAAGCCTCTAACTAATTTGAATCATACCAACACTTTTCAACGAAATTTTCTCTATTTTCAGAATTTACACGCGCATCTCACTCTATATATATATAACAAATCTAAATACTTTGACAACCTTTCAACTTACTGACAAATCTAATTTAAATATTTAAATTATAAAATTATATATATATATATATATATATATATATATATATA